TTGGGACTGAGAAGTCCAATGTCAAGGTGACGGCGTCGTGAGGGCCTTCTTGCTGCGTCATACCACGGCAGATGGCACCACATGGCGGAAGGGTGGAAGGGCAGGGCGAGCCAGAGCGTGCAACCCACCCCGGTTAAAGCCCACTCCTGCAATACAGCAGTAGTCCATGCACCTCTTAAAGGTCCTGCCTCCAACTATGCTACGATGGCAATTAAATTTCAGCATGACTTTTGCAGGGAATATTCAAAACCACAGCATTCTTGTCCCTGGTCCCCCCAAACCCTTGTCCTCCTCACAATACCAAATGCATTCATTCCACCCCAATAGCCCCAAAGTCCAAACTCATTCCAGCATCAACTCAAAAGTCCAAATCTAGAGTGTCACCTTATATCACATACCGGTGAGACTCAAGGCAGGATCCATCCTGCGGCAAATTCTCTCCAGCCGTGAGCCTGGGAAGTTGAGCCAGTTATGTGCTTACAAAACACAATGGGGGAGGGGGTTCCCATTCCAAAAGGGAAAAATAGGCAAGAAGAAAGGGGTGACTGGTCCCAAGTAAGTCCAAAACCCAGCAGAGCAGACATTAAATCTTAAAACTCCAGAATCATCTCTGACTCCACATCCTGCCTTCTGGGCACACTGGGGCAGGGGCTGGGCCCCAACACCTTGGGCAGCCCTGCCCTGATGACCTTGCTGGCACAGCCCACCACGCAGCTCTCACAGGTTGGGGCTGCCAGCTGGTGGTCTACAGTGCTAAGGTCTTGGGGCGGCCCTGCTCCCACAGCTCTGCTGGGCATGACCCTAGCGGGGGGTGTCTGCAGTGGCTCTGCCCGTGGCAATCCTCAGCCTGGCCCAGGGCTCTCTGATGCATCCACTGACATCCAGGTGGAGGCTGCGGTGCCCACAGCTGGAGCACTCTGCACGTCTGCAGTTAGCACCATGCAGAGGCCACCAAGGCTTATCACTGCCAGCCCAGGAAGGGTCCTGGCCCATCCCCTGAAACCATTCTGCCCTCCTAGAGTTCTGGGCCTGTGGTGGGAGGGACAGCCTGAAGATCCCCAAAATGCCTTCGGGGTCACTCTCCCACTGTCTCGATGAACAGCACCTGGCTCCATCTGTGCTGATCCCCTCGGCAGAGGGCTGGGGGCCACATCCTCGCACTTGCTCTTCACCTACTGTGTGGCTACGCTGTGAATTTTCCAACTCCCACATTCCACCTCCCTTTTAATTATAAATTCTATCTTTAAATCATTCCTCTCTCTCCTCATTTTGCTATATGCAGTTAAAAGAAGCCACACAGCACCCTGCATGCTTTGCTGCTTAGCTCCTTCTTCTGCCAGACGTCCTAGTTCATCATTCTTAAGCTCTGCTCCAGCATGGACAGAGTTCAACATGCTCTTTGCCCCTTTATAATGTCGCGGAGGAAATATAATTTCTCTTCAACTCTCTTAAGCTCATAGTTGGGACAGGCCCCAGTACCAAAAAGACAGATTAACACGATAGCCAGGTTTATTAGTGTGTGCGGTGCACATCACACAGGGGAAACCTCAGTGAAAGGCAACTCAAGGGAGTGGCTTGGCACTCTGGCTTCTGCAGCATCTTCTACAAAGAGCAGTGAGTTTGCAGCGAATATTAATACAAGTAAATACACGGGAGGAAGCTGCTGGAGTAGTTGGTTTGCAGATTATTCTGTTGCCATCTCTGGGCTGAGAGTCGTCTCCAGGGAAGGAGAGTTTATATTGTTGTCAGGCAAACACATAGAGGATAGGGAAGGCTGCTTCTCTGCTTGATGCTTCTTAATTGCCTTTAGCTCAGAAATAACTTTTATGCCAACGAGGCTTATTTTGGGGTGACATGTTCTGGTTTCTTTCAATGACAAACATGGCTTTTCCTCCAGTTTCCAATACCTTGCTCCTCATTTCTGCCCGAGACCTCGTCAAAGTGGCCTTTCCCATGTCTATTTCTACAACCCTCGTAAGCTCACAGTTGGCACAGACCCCAGTAAAAAAAAAAAAAAAAGCCTCCCACCTCTTAGTTCTGCTTCCCTTTTAGTTCTAAATTCCACCTTTGCACCATCACTTCAGCCATCTCTAAGCCGCTCCAGCCTTTCCCTGCAGCTCTCCTCCTCTTCCGAGCCCTCACCAGAACCGCCCTTCACGCTCTGTTCACTCACAGCGATCAGGCGCTTCCTAGCCCGGTCCTCCAAATTCTTCCAGCCTCCACCCACTACCCACTTCCAAAGGCACTTCCACGTTTTCAGATGCTTGTCATAGCAACAGACCCACTTCTCAGAACCAATTTTGTTTTAGTCTGCTTTGTGCTATCGCAGAACCCCACACACTGGGCGATTGACCAAGAACACAGATCATGGCTCGCGGGACCGGAGGCAGGGAAGTCCAGTCTCAAGATGCTGCCATCTTGCTGCGTTATGACACGACAGAGAGCAATTGGGCAGGTGCCACCTCTTAACACTGCTACAATGGCAATTAAGTTTCAACATGAGTTTTGGAGGGGACAAACATCCAAACTATAGCAGCATCCTTTAAGGCACAAAAGTTTTGAATCTTGAAGTCCAATTTATCCTTGTGGAGGGGGGTGTTGCTGGTGGTTAGGGTGTCGTGTCTCAAAAACTGTTGCCTAATCTGTGATTTATTGTTGCAACCCTTGTATTTAGGTCTTTGATCCATTGTGAGTTCATTTTTGTGTAATAGATGGTGTGCGGTGGGAGTCCAGCTTCACTCCTTTGCGTGTGGACATTCGGTTGTCTCACTACCTGTTGTTGAAGAGACTATTCTTTCCCGCACTGAATTGTCTCGGCACCCTCGTCTAAGAGCAGTTGCCCACAAAGCCATGAGTTACTTCCTGGACTCTCGAATCAACTCCACTGGCCTACGTGTCTGTGCGTAACACCAGCGCCTCATAGTCTTGAGTGATCGTGGCAAGTCTGGAAATCAGGAAGTGTGAGTCCTCCAGATTTGTTCTTTTTTCAAGATTGTTCTGGCTATTCTTTGTCCCTTGCGTTTCCATGTGAATTTTAGGATGATGGGCTTTTCCACTACTGAAGAAAAGCCAGCCGGGGTTTTGGTAGGGACTGCGCTGAATCTGTAGACCAATTTGGGGAGCACTGTCATCTTGCCAGTATTAAATCTCTCATCCATGCAAGTGAGATGTTTCCATTTATCTAGGACTGCTTTGATTTCTTACAATGATATCTTGTGGTTTTCAGCAGACAAGTCCTTACCCTTTAAGAATAAACAATTCTACTTACAATAGCATCAAAAATAATAAAATACTTAGGAATAAGTTTTTTAATTTCTCTCTTTTTTTTTTTTTTTTGAGACAGAGTCTCACTTTGTCGCCCAGGCTAGAGTGAGTGCCGTGGCGTCAGCCTAGCTCACAGCAACCTCAAACTCCTGGGCTCAAGCGATCCTGCTGCCTCAGCCTCCCAAGTAGCTGGGACTACAGGCATGAGCCACCATGCCCGGCTAATTTTTTCTATATATATTAGTTGGCCAATTAGTTTCTTTCTATTTATAGTAGAGACGGGGTCTCGCTCTTGCTCAGGCTGGTTTCGAACTCCCGACCTCCAGTAATCCGCCCGCCTTGGCCTCCCAGAGAGCTAGGATTACAGGCGTGAGCCACCACGCCCGGCCTAATTTCTCTTTTGAGTTGTTCATTGTTAGTATATTGGAAACAAATGATTTGTATGCATTGATCCTACAATCCTGAATTCATTTATTAGCTCTAATAGGTGTGTTTTTGTAGATTCTTTAGGATTGTCTATGTACAAGGTCATGTCACCTGAAAACAAATACAATTCCTACTTCTTTCCTATCTAGACACCTTTTATTCCTCCCTCTTGCCAAATGCTCTAACTTGAACCTCCAGTACAATGCTGAAGAGAAGTGGCAAAAGTGAACATCTTTGTTTGGTTCCTGAGCTTAGTGACTTGTTTTTTAAATAAGACTTGGGCATTTATGTGGTTGGAGGGAAAGAAATCAGTGGGGAAGGAGATTATACACAAGAGGGAATAACTGATAGAGAAAGATACAAGGGAGGCAGGTAGAAAGGAGGTCACTTCCTCCAGACATGGGAGGGAAGGACAGAAACAAGGACACCAGGTAAGGCTGGCACTTGGAGGGAGGGTGCTGCTCTCCACTTCTAGTAAAGTGGAGGGGTGGCCTGGGGGAGGCTGGGGGCTTGAAGCAAGGAGCAAAGGTGAGAAGTTACTGCTGCTGTTGGAGAAAGACAAGCTGGGGAGAAGCCTGCAGCAGGTGCGGCTCAGACGGGCTCCTCCCTCTGTTCTGTGATGCTCCACTGAGCACCTCCTCCTGGCTCCAGGTTCCACCCCACCGTGACGCATCACCTGGGCATACGTGGAAACTGAAATCATACTAAAAATGTGCTATATTGACGGAAGGCGCATTTCTTGACTTTAAAGTTAGGTGTTTCACATCTGTTTCTTCTGCTTCAAAAAAGGGAGGCAGGCCGCGTGGTGGCTCACGCCTGTAATCCTAGCACTCTGGGAGGCCGAGGCAGGCAGATTGCTCGAGGTCAGGAGTTTGAAACCGCGTGAGCAAGAGCGAGACCTTGTCTCTACTATAAATACAAAGAAATTAATGGCCAACTAATATATATAGAAAAATTAGCTGGGCATAGTGGCCATGCCTGTAGTCCCAGCTACTCGGGAGGCTGAGGCAGAGGATTGCTTGAGCCAGGAGTTTGAGGTTGCTGTGAGCTAGACTGATGCTATAGCACTCTAGCCTGGCCAACAGAGTGAGACTCTGTCTCAAAAAAAAAAAAAGGGAGGCAAAGACGAAGTTCTTTTCTTGCGGTGCTCTCTGTAATAGGAGACACACCCTCTCCCCCGCTTCCTGTTAGATGACCACCGCACTTGGGACAGAAATGAGAGTGACACCCCTGCACAAGGACGGCTGATAAACACGCCTTCCTGCGCAAAGGCCCACCCCGGCGCGAGAGATGCCACAGATGACAAAGACGGCTTGGGCAGACTTGGAGTTTATTTGCTGCAGTTCCTTGGCGCTAGTGTACAAGGCAAAAACAAACAAAAACAATTGGAATAATTATAATTATTTAAAAACCCTGTCAACAACTTTCAGTCATTTCTTTATATTTTATATTTTGACAAAACTTTTTTTAAACAAATACAAAATAATCTAAAAGGAGAAAAACTATACATGGATTATTTACACCTCTGATAAATAGACTAATACTGATCCAGGGGCGTTCTGTCTAGAAGTATTGTGAGAACCAGGGCAAGGGACCGGGCCGCCAGACAGGCTCAGCACTGGCCCTGGTGCCACCCAGACTTCACTGGCACCGCCCTGGTTCTCCCACCCAGAAAGTTCTGGTTTCCAGCCTAGACCCTCTTCTGGCACCCTCACAAGCTCTGGCCTAAGAGCACCTGAAGCCATTCCAGGTAGGATCTACATGAAGGGGGGTGCCAGAATGTCCCCCACACTGCTCCCACCACTGCTCTGGCAAAAGCTATTTCTAGAGGTGCTCACCACTGCGAAAGGAGCCGCGACGACACAGTCCGGCGGAGACCCGTGGCTCCTCACCTGCCTCCTGGCGGCAGCGCTCTGCGCCAACCCGGTCCAGGGCCATGTGGAGATGGCCGGCAGCCACCTGCTCTGTCCAGACTGGCTCGGCCAGGTGGCAGGATCTGCCCTGGAGAGTCCCTGAGAGAACGGCAGGAGAGCGCGGGCCTAGGCGGGCCACTCGCTCACATGCCCCACGGGGAAAAGGGTTCCAAGAGGCTGAGCTTGGCCCTCTCGTCCCACTGCACCCTCTGAGCAGACAGAGACCCGCTTCCCCTCAAGGGGACCCACCCCCAAACTTCCAGAGTAGTCCAGTTAGGGCCAGTTGAGGCAGAAAAAGCTGAAGCCCTAAGGGGCTCAGGCAGGACCTACTCCTTCCTCTACAACGAGGACTAGAGTTTGGGGAAGAGAAGAAAAACCAAATATGGAACAGTCAGGTCATCCCAGACCCTCTGTTGGGATGACCTTCCTCACAGTTTTGGTTATTAGGTATTTAGCTCAAGGAAAATGCTGACTTTATACTTTAAAGCCCAACAAGAACTTGGATTCTGAAGGAGAGCAACAACACAAGCGTCTAGTCACTTGTCTCCTGTCCTTGGCGCCCCGCAGGCACTTGGGATGGGACAGCATCTGCTGGAGCTGCCGACCCGCACCCGCTCGCTGCCACCGCGCCGGCCAACAGGCCCCGCAGTCTGACTGCGTCATCTGGAGATCCCGCTGCGCCTGCAGCACCCTCTGCCTTCTCTACGTCACCCTCCCTGTCACCCTCTCGCCCAGATGAGCACCCAGCAGCGAGCTCCCCCTGGCTCCTGAAGCACAGGAGGGCGGCCTGCCCTGCCCAGGCTGACACCCCAGCAGCAGCCCAGGGAGCCCTTCTCTAGGGTGAGGCTCCCCAAACCGGGCAGGGCAGAATGCACCCGAACAGTGCTATGTTCTTTAAAAAAAAAAAAAAATAGATCTTTATAGTACGTGGCTTCTTTTCCTTTCCACCATTTTCTTAACATAGAATAATGTATCAATACATGTATTTATGGTGCAGGGGTGAAGGCTCTTCGTGGGGAAACCACCAAGAGGTAAACGTTCTGCTCTGAGCTCTGCTATCAGACCCGCTGAGCAGGAGGCTGGCAGGAGGCTGGCAGGAGGCTGCTCTGCCGACAGCAGCTCTGCTCTGCTGAGAGAGAAGGTTCAGGAACCCATGCTGGACAGGCGGCAGGCCCCTCTTCCCGGTAATAACTGCCCACCCTTCTCCCATTTAAAAAAAAAATAGCAAAAGCTGAAGCTAGTCTCTAGGAATTCGGGGCAGGGCCCGGCGGAGAGGACGCCCCTCAGTGGCGCCCCTCAGTGGAGGCCGGAGACAGGGCCGGGCTCCGCAGGCATCGCGGCTCACGCCCTGGGCTGCACTCAGTGTCTTTTCGTGGAGGAGACCTTCTTTTTCCGTGCTGCAAGCATCTCGTAGAAAGGGTCCCTGCTGATGGCTGCTCTGGAGCACAGAAAGGAGAGAAAACAGAGGCATGAGGGACATGGCCAGGGAGAGAGTCCTGGGTGGGGGCTGCCTGAGGTCCTTGTACCCCCACCCCACCCTGCAACTATCCTGTAGAGGCCAACCCAGTGCGTCAACTCTTGCTGCGACACACAGGGCTTAAGGTGACCTGCTTCAAAAGAGACACACAGTGACACATAACAAGATAATTTTTTTTTACCTATTTGAATTTAATAATTAATTTACATTTAGGAACAGAAGCATTACACATTCTTACAGCTATATTCTAATTCAGAGAAAAAGACCACACGCGGTACCTTAGTTCCACGCTGACACCTGGCTTTCCTTCATGGCAGCGAGTGCCTTACCAAGCATGTCACGCGGCAGGCACCTGAGCAACTGAGCTCTGCACGGTGGCAGCAAGTGCAGCTGCCTGAGTCACACCGCTCAGGCTAGGGGGGCAGCACCACCTCTGTGTGGCTCTGGACAACTGACGTAACCCTGCAGGGCCTCAGTTTCCTCATCTGTGAGGCAGGAGACGCTTCCTGGCAGGAGTAAAGAGGCTGCGCTTGCAGGGCGAGGAGGGGTCTGCGAGTCCCACGGCTGGTGAGGGGGTCCGGACGGACCAGAGCAGCTGACAGTCCGGGGGCTCGGCTTCACTGAGGCCACAGCACTGCGTGGCTCAAAAGAATGCTCAGTTCTGCTGGCCACGGGGGTACTAACCGTACGAAAGACAGAACGTACGACACCAGCCGAAACTGTTCTGAGAGAACAGTGAGGGGACGGCAGGGGGACAGGAGCTCCCACACGGCAGCAGCTGGAAGGCCGCAGGGCCAGGGCAGCGCGGGTTCGTCCTGAGAGACACGCGGTGCAACAGAGGCTGGCCTGCGTGGGCCAGGGACTCAGTACAAACTAAGGAGCATGTCACCTTGGTCGGGAGAAACGCGTTGACCGATAAAGGGTATTGGGTCAGACAGCTGTTCATTCAGTTGTGAGAACTAAATTACAACCCTTCAAACCATATACAAAAAACAAATTTCATAACAATTAAAGAGTTAAATATTTTTAAAAACATATGTTAAAAAAAAGACATGAGATGCGTAGGTGACATCCACCTGGCCCACAGGTCCCCACCGCACTGGGCTCTTCTTCCCCAGACCATAGGGCCAGCGCCACAGCTGGTGGCAACTCTGACAGTTCTGCGGTGCCACACGCACCCAGTGGGGAGGGGAATGGGCCCACTCAAGGCCACACTTATGACGACAGTTCTTAGCTGTGTGACCTGGAGGCAGCGTTTCCCTCTTCCCAGACCTTCAGCTTTCTCCCAGCACAGTGGGGCATGGTGCTATGGGACTTTGGGCAAATTTCTTAACCTCTATGGGCCTCAGTTTCCTAAGCTGTAAATGGGAAAATGGTGTCTTACAGGAGTAACAAATTATAAAACACAACCACTATCTCTACTGAGCTGTATCCATGAAAATGAGATCTGCTGCCTTAGAGATGGACAGACAGCCCAGCAGATGGCACCGTGCCCGAGAGCTCGCTCACTTGGGGAACCTAGGCAGGAGGTGCTCTTTAAAAATGCGTAACAGCAAAGAATGCACAGGTCTCCTGCGAGGTACTCTGGGAAGCACAACTGAACCATTCCCTGAGGACCTAACACAGAGCAGGAGCACGGGAAGGCAGGGCAGCGGATTCCGGAGTGGGGACGATCCGTGTCTGACAGTGTGAGTCACGGTCAGGCAGGCCACACTCCTGTTTCCAGACGGCACTTACTTAATGCACTTGATCCACTCCTCCTTCTCCTCGGGTGTGGGGGCTGAGATGCGGTACACGGTGTGGTTTCCCTCCACCACGCGCCCGTCCGCCTCGGTCTTGCAGGCCTTGATCACTTGGTCTTTGTTGTCAGGGATGTACAGCTCAAAGCAGTTCTGAGAAGCGACAGGGGAGGGGGGCACAAAGGTCTTAGGAAGCTGCTGACCAGAAAAATGTTCATTTATTTCCCAAAACACTCTTTATCTGACCTTCATAAAATATGGGCAATATATGTCTTCCGGGGAAAAGAGGAGCTCAGAAGCAGAGCTCTGGAGAGCGGACTGGACATGAATAGGTTTTATTAGCAAAGACGTCAACCAGCAACACGGCGAGAGCCGCAGGTTACTTCATCCTTTCTAAAGCCAAGGTAATACTACCACGATAGTCCAAAACACAGCAAAAACATTTATGAAGTGTCCCGATAAAATAAGTAGCTCGACCCTGAGTGCTTCCTGCTGCCATTCAGGGAGGGACAATTTCTACACCTCAGCAGGCAGAACAAAATGTGACTCAGAGTCTCACCTTTGGCTTCAGTGCTAAAGATGATCAAAAAATTAGACTAAATTAACGGCATGATACTACTTTTCAGGTTTTTTGTTTTTCTTTTTTTTTTTTTTTAAAAAAAACCTCTGAAATTTCATTCTTTTCCAAAGAACTTCATGCTCATTCCCTTCCTCCCCCAAAATTTCTCAGCAAAGATACTCACTGGTTTTTTTGAGTCCTCCACTTCCCGGATACTCAGATTCTCTAAAGGGATAATGCCACGGGGCTCCTTATCCTACAGGACATTGAAGAGAAGGAGACTTCACCACCCAGTGGAAGACACACGCGCTGTTCCATTCCTTCCATTCCTTCGCAGCAGCTCATCCTAAGTCCCCTGCCTTCTCCCGTGACATGGAAGTCACACATTAGCTCGAGGGACCACCCCTTATGTGCTAAAGCAAGAAGAGGTACAGAAGTGTCTAGGGATTGTCCCTATAACCAAAAGTCCTTTGCAAGTGGGAAAGCCCAGGAGATTCGACAGATGCCCCGGAAGGCCCTGCCCCCTCTCGCTTCTCGCCCTGCCTTCCCGCTCACCTCCCGAGCCTCGGTTCTGGGTCAGCAGCTCCAGGAAGCCTTTCCTCAGCTCACCCAGTGTCCCCCAACGCCCGGGACTGCAGCTGCGGCACAGACCATCCGTACGCACTGTCTCTGCCCGCTGCCCCCACTGCCCTCCTGACAACTCTACCTGGATCTAAGGAGGCTCCGAAACTCCTGTCCAGGACAGAGCTAACCCCACCCCCACTGGTCCTCCCTGGCAACTCATCCTAACTCTCCTGCCTTCTCCCATGACATGAAGCTCACAGTGCAGCCCGGGGGACCATTCGGTACATCCTCCCCTCACAGCAGAGCCCCTGCACATGCTCGCACAGGCCTGCCGCAGCCTTCGCTGTGCTCCGACACCCAGCTAGCCAATCACTTCGCAAGTCGTTGTATCTGACCAGGGTTACACATGCAAAAAGTGTTTAGAAAATCAAGTTCTACAAGTTTTGTAAAAGCAAAACAGTCTTTCAGCCATTTCCTCATCCCTGGCAGCAACTATTTCAACTGCGTTAAGCCAATCTGTTTGGTATCTACCACTGTGTCACATACGTCTCTAAGATACCACGTTTGAACTGCTGACTTCTGCGTGTTAGTTTCAGGTGTTGCCTACAGCAGAAGAGGACGTGGCTCCTGCTCTCACCCTGGCGTGTTCACACTCCCCATCCTCCAAAGTATCTGGTACTTTGGGTCACAGCCGCAAGCACACAGCGTTATCATTAACGCTCTTTTCTCTTCAGACTTGTACCACATAGTAACCTTTTTTACTTTTTTTTCCAGAAAATAATCTCTCCCTCAACCCCCGAACTCAAAATTACCTTTTACTGGGGATAAGGGTTGTTTCTTTTATTTGGTTTTCTATGACCTTAAAACCAAAATCAATTATAAATGGCTCACCTCTTGTCACAATCTCCTTTCTAATGCTAATTTCCCAATGGCATCTCCCCTGGGGCCATTCCACCCGCCTGGCTGCCTCAGGCTCCAGCTCTCCATCCTGCTCCTCCCTCTGCTGCCAGGGTCTCCCCTCTCCACTTAGCGCCCAGGACTGGCAGAGCGCACCCTCTGCTCACACCCCGAGGCTGTGTGGGTGGGAACTGCTGAGATCCTGCTTATGCAACAATGTTCCTACTCGGCCTGCACACATGGCTGACAGTGTGGCCGGGCATGACAGCCCAGGCTGGACGCCATCCTCCCCCGGGACTGTGATGGGCAGCATCCGTCTAGCTTTCAACGTCACCCTGTCCAAAGTCACTGCGGGTGATGCTGCCTTGCCTGTGACTGCTGCTTCCTTTGTCTTCAGTGTTCAGAGATTCCACAAGGATGCAGACTTGGTGTGGACCTATTTTCAGCCATTATGTGGGGTATTCAGTAAGCCTTTCAACCTTGAAACTTACACTCTTCATTTGGGGGGAACTTTTAAAAGAAATCGTCTTGTCAAGGGTCACCTCCTCTGTCTGCTTCCTTAGTCCTCTCTGGAGCACGGTGGACCTCCTGGACTGGTTCTTTTTTCTTTAAAATAATCTTTCCTTTATTATTTTCCATCTCTTTGACTTTTTACTCTTTCTGGGGGATATTCTTGGTGTTTTTCATCCAACCCTTCAATTAAGTTTTTGTTTCTATCATACTTTTAGTTCCCAAGACCATTTTTGATTGTTTTTGTCCTTGGCTTAACACAGCTGCAGGAAGTCACCCCTCTGAGGTGTCCGAGAGTCTCTGTGACTGGCACTGGGGCTTTCTTCTCCCTAGAGTCCCTGTCCCCCACGCTGCTCCCTTGCTGTCTGGCTGCTCAGGTTGGGGCACTCAGACATCTGGCACTCTCCGGTTGTCCCACCTGAAGAGCAGAAGACTACGAGGGGAGATTCCGAGCTGTGAGTGTCTATAAGGCCCCTCTCACTAGGCTGCCTGGGTTGAGTCATTGCCAGGTGAGCAGGTGAGTGGGTGAAGAGTTAGCATAATCTGGACCTTAAGGAGGCTGTGACTTCATTCGCACTTAGACTGGTGGGGCCTGCAACATCTGGGTTACGTGTGCATCATGATGCATGTTCTCCATGTAAGGTGATTTTAAACCAAGAAGACTTATACTGTGGTCCTAAGCTGGAAGTAGGGAGATTATAAGGTGACCCTTACAACCATAGGGAACCCCGCTGGAGATCCTGGATCTTTCCCTGCCCTGCCTCATCCATGCTGCTGCATCACGAACAACACAGCCCTCCTCACTATCCTGCTCACACCCATCCTATGCTTGGGACCAGCCAGCACGAGCCAGTGCCACTCACAGGAGAACTCTCGATCCCGCGGGTGCTGCGGAGGAAGCAGACTGAGAGAAACCGATGGAAACGGACGTTAAGCTCCTGGGCAACCACGTAAAGTGCCAAACATGGAGAGGGCTCCCCGTCCAGGGTCCTCCTCCCTGGAACTAAGTGGACAGCCAGGTCTAAGAATAGGTACCCGGCATGCATCACTGATGACTGTGTGTCTGGTAATCACCACGTCCCCAGGAAGAGAGCACTAACCAGCACTGATGTCTTTGACTTATCAAATTTTTCTTTAAGAACAATTATCATTGTTTTTGTAAAAATAATTTCCCATTAAAAGACCTTAAAATACTGCAGAGAAGAAATAAGGCGAAAGGTTTAAAAACACACCAAATCCAATCACTCCTAAATTATCACTGCTGACCTTAGGTGAAGATATTTTGTGTGTATACAGAGGGAGAGATACAGGTTTTATGAAAATGGTATATTTCAGTTGGTATCATTTCCACAAAAGACTTTCCATCTTAATTTTACAGAATAGAAGAAAAAAATGGAAACAGAAACTGGAGAAGCCTTGAACTTCAAAGCAAATGTTTCTTTACTGTAAGAGTTCCTAAAATAACTTTACTCAAGTTAAGAAAAGAGAACTTATGAAAAACATTAAGAAGTTTTAGTCATTCTTTTTAAAAAAAAAAAAAAATGTGTTTTAATTTTACCTGTTGCCGAGGCTGGAGTGCAGTGAGGCGATCACAGCTCACCGCAGCCTCAGACTCCTGGGCTCAAGTGATCCTCCTGCCTTAGCCTCTAAGCGCTAAGATTATAGGCATGAGTCACCACGCTCAAGGTAACAGTACTTCTTGACTCTTTGTTTTGAGAGAAATAGTCTCATAATTCTTCATATTTTTCCTCCTCCTACCTCCGGATTTTTGTTGATTATTTCATTTTTGCATTGCCTAGGTTTATAACATTCATAGTCTGTTCTGTGGCCACAATTTCCAGTTATTTACTATTAGTCCCATATTTAACTATATGTTAATATTACGTTCTATGTTTAAGTATATTTTAGTATTAGTCTTACATTTATGTATTAGTTTTTTTTTTTAAGGCAAACACGAAAATGAAGGTTATTGAGGAGAGAAAGATAGGATTATAGGGCAAGAGCAAAATATAGGTTTACAGAGCACGGTCCATATGCCGCAGATGATGACTGGACCCATTCTTGCAGCAAAGGGAGAGTAAAAGGAAGGGCTCCCCGAAAAAAAGGCCATATTAGTTCTATACTTTAGTGTATGCTGGAGTTAGTTCTGTATTTCAGTGAATTGGTTCCATGCTCATCAGTGGGCTTTTACTTCCTTGGGTCTTTCTTTGATTCATTTACTTAAACGCTAACGGGTCTGGATGAAGGCTGCTGGGTCATCTTCCTTCCACACCCGTGGAGACCTTGAACCACTAGCTTCTGGCACGGACAGCTGCCTGAGATGATCTGCTTTTGCCAACTGAATGGCCAGAGGCCTTGCTCCAAGTGAAACTGTATGAAGGGCTAGCTAGGCCTTGGGGCCAAATTTTCTGTAAGTTTCCTGAAATACTGTGCACTCTCTTGATTTATACAGTCAGGGTTTTTCCTCCTTCTCAGGCAAATGATCTCATGACACATCATACTTTGATTTTGCAGGCACCAATTATTCTGGTATTAGGATTATCTTCTGTCCCCCACATCCTAGCTTTTATCTAATTGTTTCAATTCTTATCTTTTTCTGATACTATCTCTGTGATAAGCACAAGCCCTTCCTCCAGGACATGATTACATTTCTGCTAATCTGTTCCACTCCTAGAAGTTTTAACTTATGTGTTCATAAGCTATACTTCACAACAATTATATAGTTACATTACATAGTTTTGGTGCTCACTTGTTTCAAGACTGCAACCTCTCTTTTCTAGCCTTCCTGCTTATTCTGGTCACTCCACGAGTGGTTCCCTGATTCCCTCCCCTGAATCTCTGACCACTGACTTGAGGTGGAGGGTCAGGTGTTTTGCATTCAGCACTTTCTACAGACTCCTAAGACAACAGTGAGTGAAGGAGAGCTCATCTAAGATGCTCCCTGAGCTCTGACCTCTCCTCTGGGATTGTGAATGTCCAGGGTCCGGGTTTGCTTCTCCTAGTTCAGGGCAGACATGGAAATTATGGGAGCCCTCCATGGACAGTTTTCCCAACCGAACATACAGTCCTGAGCCTTCCCCCTATGTCACAGTGAGCCCTGTTCTTTCACCAATTTCTACCCAGCAGCATATTTTGCTCCTTCTTGATCAGAAGTGAAAACACCAGTTCCCACTGAGCGTGCTTCCCCCAGTCTGAGGGCACCCGTCACCTCCCAGGGATGCCAGCTGGGACTCTCCACTCTGCTCCCGAAGCTGCTGCAGCTGCCCTGCAGCCAGCAGCTGGAATTTACTGAATTGCCCATGCCCCTTTCCTCACTTGCTTGCTGTTTTCCCCACTCATTTTCACTAGTTTCTTGCTCTGTTAGATAATTCTGTGTGGAAGTTTCAATCTACGATCTTAACCCCCGGCAACCCCCTCTCTGCACATCTTAACCACTTTGGTACAGCATTCACTGGCTGCGAAACCTTGCCCACGGCCGGCACTCATAGTCCACACGATAATTTGTGCTGTACACTGGACAACGAGTCCGTTCTGCTCTTGTGTGATGAGGAAAGCTTTAAAGCACCGAAAGCTTGTTTTACTTTACAGGCAGCTTTACTTGTAATGTAAATCAGAATAGGTAACACACATATGTGTTTTCATTACGTTATTTTTAAATGTTCACAATTTTATTTTGATAAATGAAAAATTAGAAAAGTCATATCACGGCTGTTGGCTAAAGTCGATGCTTGGCTGAGCGTGTTCATCGGTGGCTGTCGACTATAGTCGACGCTTGTACCGAAGTGGCTAGGGAACGCATTCACTCCTGTGTTTCCATTGCCTCATAAAATGCAGGCGTTTTGCTGAATAAATGTTGCTGAATTGAGCTGAGGTGACACCACCACAGTCAGCACCACGAGGAACACAGGATTCTATCACAGAATCTCACAGTACCAGGACTGCCTAGCACCTGAGACTACACTGCTTAGAAGCCTGTGCAAGTTTCACTTTGACCCACGACAGTGAAAAAAAATCCAAACAAGACGTTAAAGACGTCATTAGTGTAGATATCTTCAAGAAAAAGGCAAAATATGGGAAGAAGGGTGAACAAAACAGAAAGAAATTTACCAAGCTGTTCATAGTGATACTTTCAGGGGAGAAACAGGGAGAATCTTTCTTTTTTACTACTTTGTGTATTTGAAGTGGATCACTGTCATGTGAAAAGACTGTACTAACAGGAAAGCAAAGGCAGCTGCAGAGCTTGCATGACATGAGTTTAGCTCCTGCAAGCCTGGTCAGAATTCCCTTGCAAGTCATTTAATATCATAATAAACAGCACACCACCATCAGAATGAGCGGCTTTGATTTACAACCTGATACTGTTGCAAAGCTCATTCCCTGTGCAAGAAGCTACATTAGTACAGTATCCATGACGATAGGGAACAGTGCAAGGTGTTAAATGCATTCACCTGTGTACTGGTCCCTAATAATTTGTATCTAAATGTAGCTAGGATTTTAATTTTTACTTAAGCACTATTTTGCTCTACATTTATTAGAAAAGATAATTCTAAGTCTTAATTTTCTCAGTAGGATCAATGACTTTTACACAGTGAAGATAAGCTTGGACAACAAAAGAGAAGCTTTCCCAACTCAACTGCCTTGAGTTGTTTCAAGACACAGGTGCTGCCGGCAGTACAACCATTTAGCTTCTCAGACAACCAAGAGGAGTGACAGAAATGAAAGAGCATCAAAGTCTCCATAGTGGGAGCCACAGTTTGGGCAGCAACCACTAACCTGCCAGGGTTCCAACGTGCTCTGCTCAGAGAAGAGAGCACTGGAAAGAGTTTTATTTTATCATTTTTATGCTCACTGGCTATTTTACCAAAGGGACGCAAATGTAACACAGGCTTGCGGTTGTTAGTCTCTTCCACTGAATAAAACCCAAAACTTCCATAGTTTAAGAAAACTTCAATTCTTAAAACTCCAGATAATCTCAATCTAACTTTTCCCATTTCACTTTACTTCTTCTTCTCCCCCCATTATATATTTTATCCCTTGGGCTGTTTCTTCTGAATCAAATCCTTCAGGATTTCTGCTACCCCAGCACATCTGAATTCTCTGAATCACAATTATTTTCTTTTCTTTACATCTCCCTTTCAATAGGGCCACAGACTCTTTCTTGCCAACTGATGCCAGCTCCTTCCTTCTAGCCCAGCTCCCAAGCAGGGTGTCTAACACAGTCTCTCCCCTGTTCTCCCGGCCAGGCGTTGCTGCCACCCAGGTCCGATGCTCGCTATGAGCCACAGTGCCTTTCCAGGCACTCAGCATTCTGTCGGGTTCCCCATTCTGAGATGCACTTTAGTTCTCTACTTTGCTTAAACTCTCCCCTGACCCCTGAAGATGCGGAAGGACAAATGTGACTGTCTCCCCACTGCCTCTTCCAACTTGGTTAGGGCCGTTTAGAAACGGACGCCTGGCCCATCCCTAGTCCCGAGGCCGGCCGGCAGGTGCTCACCGTGGTATATTCAAAGTAGTAAAGGCAGTTGTCGGTCAGAATGAACCAGCGTCTTTTCCAAGTCTTTACCCTGCCACCTGCAGAGCAAAAAGAGATGCACGTTCGACCCGAGACAGCCGGGCAAGCGCAGGCTCCAAAACGCACAAAGCTCTCTTCTCAGAGAGGGGGGGGGAGGGGGAGGGAGGGAGGGAGGTGCTGGGCATCAGGAGAACATTTAGACCACAAATTTTACATCGGTAACGAGACACAGAGCCAAAACAGAAGCATCTTTCACAAAGTGAAAGTCTGTGGGTACAAGCGGAGCAAGCGCGTCTAGGTGACACCTGGAGATGAGATCAGGACAGCAGGATGAGAGAGTATGGGTTTGTGGAGGAAAACCCAGGGCAATCATGACGGCAATGCAAATTTGCCTCGGGCTGGAGAACCCTCAGCAAAAAGCCTGCGTGGCAGAAGTGGGCAAGGAGAGAGTGGCGAGGGCCAGCGTCCCCGTGCAGGCCACGCTGCCGCTGACACGCAGCTCGGCAGAGAGCAGGTAAGGAGGGAAGCAGGAATGAGACACTGTAGGCCCTTCACAATCAAATCTATATTTCCTTGGAACAGGACACCAAACCCCTGCAGTTTTACCCTCTACCTCACCTTCCTGATGGTACTGAATTTCTACACTGGCGTTTAGCCTCCTAGGGTAGTGTGCTGAAAGTAATCTCTCCCCAGAGACCTGGGTGAGAATCAAAGCAAAATGCTTTTACTGGGGAGGAATCAACTTGTAAGGAGAGGTTGGCTCAGGAGGCTTTTTAGTTCTCACCTGTGTTCTCACCTGAGGTTTTAACAAATGCAGTTAGCAGAGGCCAGAAGCCAAGTGAGCCCTCGTGGTGGTGGCTGGGAGCTGGCCAGGGCCTCTTTTAGGCCTTTTCAATATTTCTCAATAAATAACACTGATGTCATGGAGTTACGCAGAGACAGATACTAAGCAGGAAAACTTTAACTATGGCCTCTCTGAAGGAAGCCACATCCTGCTCTCAGACAGGACCATGAGCCTCTCTTTTCCTGCCCTTCCCTAGGTCAAGGGAAAACTTTCCAAATAATGAACCACACACAAATTATCCGGGCCAGGCACAGTGGTACAAGCCTGTAATCCTAGAGTTCACGGCCAGCCTGGGCAACGTATCAAGACCCTGCCTCTCCAAAAAAAATTATCCCTACGGTCCTCACATGCTATGCTATGCATGGCCTTCTAGAAACATTTGTGCCCTGCTCTTTTGAGCCTATGCTCTTTTTTTTTTTCTGAGACAGAGTCTCACTTTGTTGCCCAGGCTAGAGTGAGTGCCGTGGCATCAGCCTAGCTCATAGCAACCTCATTCTCCTGGGCTCAAGCGATCCTATTGCCTCAGCCTCCAGAGTAGTGGGACTACAGGCATGCACCACCATGCATGGCTAATTTTTTGTATATATATTTTTAGTTGGTCAATTAATTTCTTTCTATTTTTAGTATAGACGGGGTCTCGCTCAGGCTAGTTTTGAACTCCTGACCTAGAGCAATCCACCCACCTTGGCCTCCCAGAGTGCTAGGATTACAGGCGTGAGCCACTGCGCCCGGCCAAGCCTATGCTCTTTGGCTAAGACTTTACCTACACAGAACATCACTTCCCCAATATTCATAAAAAGCAAGGACCACAGGGCACAAACCTTGTCCCACTGGGTCGTGCTTTTATCTCTTGCTCTCACCACAAAAAGGTGAGCAGAGGGTGGTTTTACAGGGACTATGTCCAGCTGCCAGGACCTGCCTGCATGCTCATGCCAGAGAAACCTAAGAGGAGAATGCAAATAGTGTCCAGTGTAGGTCCTGGCAGACAAGTGTCAGGACTATGAGACTGTTAGGCTCATTTTACGCTCTGCTTGGGTGCCTGAACTCTAGAGGTGCTTAAGTGACTGATCATTACCTGCTAAGATTCTATAAGACACAGACCTAGGTCGCGTGAGGGAGTTTGCCATCAGTAGGCACGTGTCACCCACCCACCCATCCTGTGCTGGTATCAAGCAAATTGAGACTCTCTCCCTCCAGTGATTTGTGAGTTTATGTGAGCACTTGACGCTGGTCCCCAAGGGTTATATGGCATGAATTAAGAAAAAACTGTAAATGGATAATATGACATGCATGTGGAAAACAGGAAGGCTGGGCAGAATTAAAATAAATAAGGAGGAGAAAGAAGACAAGGAATATATTCAGAATTGGAGCCAACTTGTTCTTAAAAAGAAATCCCCCTCCCTCATTTCAGGGTCTGAGATCTTCGGTCATCCAGCCTTGGGGGCCTCTGGTTCTCCCCGCAGGGCTTGGCACACAAGGAACATCAACCCATGCTGGCCTCCCATGCACTCCGCCACAGGATACTACCCTCAGTGACACTTGGGACTTAGGAGATCATGGAAAAGCAGCTCAGATGCCAAAGGAACAAGATGGAAGGAAATCAAGGATAAAAAGCAAAGCCAGAAGAAACTTTCTGCCTGATTACAAAAGCTTGGTTACTTCCCTGAACGATTTGTTGCATTAGAGACCTCTGCTATAAAGCATCATTGCAGGCCCATGGGGAGCATTTCCACGTGGAAAGAAAAACAGACATGAAACAAGCAGACAGATCAATGCGCGCCTAGGACAGTCCCTGTGGAACTCACAGGACCACCTCCCCCTGCACGGCTCCTCGTGCCCTCCTGTGACCCCTCAGATAGCAAGGCCAGATGCCATCCTCCCCTACAGTTGAGAACAACCTGACAAGTCCCTAAAACGTTTGAATAAATGTCAATGTTTGGGGCTGTTCTTTTTAAGTTAGCTCTACTCAAAGGATGCTTCGGCACAAACCTGAGGAGCTCTTGGGCTAGGAAAAATGTATTTCCCCCAAATCAGCAAATGGAGAGTAGATACCAACAACATAACTGAGACGCCAATTTGGGGTTTTAATGACTCCCTGAACAGGAGGAACAAAATGAAACAAAAACAGAGCTGAGGCTATAATGCTCTTCCATGACACCCAGAAAATACAAGGACTTTAGCTAGGGATTTTTTGGTTTTGGGTTCTTTTTAAACTTCACTTGGCACCAGTTTGAGCTTAGGGGAAACATCATTTCCCTTTTTCATGCAAAGGTAAATGTCCTAAATGTCGCCTAATTTAATGCTTTTCCTAATTTGCTTTTCAGTCATGGTATGTCAGAAGCACATGGCTTTGGGACTTCATTCCCTTCCTCCTCTTCCCCACTTTAGATACTACTTTCAAATTGATTCATGGATGTCAATTTGAATTTAACAAACATAGCACATGCTTAGCCAATAATTCCAAGTGAAAATGCAATGAATACTCTTTTTGCTTTTTATAAACCTACTCTTAGTATGTTTCCTTGCATTACTGCATTCAGCAAGTTAAATTTCTGCACATCTTGGTGCCTAGCTGTCCGATGTACTCCCCCAAAAGGGAAAACAAGAGAAGTGCTACAAACCCCCAGCCTGACCAGTTCCCTAGGGACTGTACGCTAAGTTAGAAGCAGCATTAACACTACCACCAGCAATTAAAAAACAAAATAACCAAAAATAACAAAATAAGAAAACGCTGCAGCAATGACAGTGGCCTGGGCAGAGCGCGAGCAGGGTGAGGGGTTACATACCTCCTGGAGTTTGGGGCAAGGAAAAGGAGAGCCAAAATCATGGAAACATACAAATGAGGGAGAAAAGAAAATTAAAACAAAGAAATCAAACCCGATTCCTTAATCTTAAAAGTGCAACGTATCAGTCACATTCATGTCTGCTGGGGAGGGAGCTGACCTAAAAACTGCCGTGGGGCAGACGCTGTCCTGCTGCTGTCCAGCACGGGAACCAGGGGACATCTTACGTGCCACAGACCACCTGGTCAAGGCAAGATTTGAGGCACTACTGACAACCTGGCCCCAAAGATGCCACAAATAAGTGTTTACATAGCCAGCATTTATTGGTATATCCAGAACCGGAGCAAAGAAAGCAAAGATTGCTTCAGGGAAATTAAATGTCTTTTCTTAGATGGCTGTCACTTTTTAACGTGTGTGTAAGAATGCACACACATATACCCATGAAGACACATGTACGTATGTGTATACACAAGAATACACATTCTTATGGCTATATGCATACACAGACATATACACACAACTACAGATGGCTGGAGGCCCTGCCTTCTGTAGCACATAAACACAAAGGAGTGATTCTAAGTGTGCTACAATAAAAACACAATATTAAGAGTTTAGAAGGGTTTGGTGGACATTTAGAAAAAGTAATGCAATGAGCTAAAACTGAGTCCTACATTTAGTCAACTTTTTTCTTTTTAAAAATATGGGATGTCTCATGAATTTGCATATCATCTTGGTGCAAGAACCAAGATAATCTTTGTACTGTTCTAATTTTAGTATCTAGGCTGTCAAAGCCAACACTTAGCATTAGCGTTTAAACAAATTTCACTGGAGGGGGAAGTAAATCCAAACTTGGACACACTTTAAAAATTTCTAGTAGGTTTCCTTTTAACTTTATCCATTTGACAATAAGAATGTGGAGCAGAAGGTTGCCTATGGGTTAGTAATTTTAGAGCTTTAACTTCAAAGATTCTACTGGCTTAAAGATACATGAAATGATGGCCAATTCAAGAGATATTTAAAGCTCCTCTCAGTGAAGTGGTACTTTAAGGGGAATTTATGAATTAAGCCATTATGTATAAGCTCAAGGACTTGGGATATGCTTTTAAAAGGAAATATAAATCCTACTGCTATCTGAACTCATCAGAAATAAAAGATTCCATTTTATCCTTCCTAGATGTTTCAATGGCCAAGAGAGTAATGACTTCTAATCACTGTGGCAAGTAATTGAGATGGTAGAGGAAGGTCATTCGAATGGAACACCCCCTGCTAATGTGGGACCCCAACTCATCAAAAGCCAAGGCAGGAAAAAGCAGAGGAAAGTACTCTCTCAGTGTCCAAAAATACGGACATCATCACGTCCAGAAGTTTTAGAGCTCTATGTTCTGAAACAATTACTAAAATCATCACATGTGGGCAGGAATGTGTATAGAAACCCTATTAATTTTTTTCCCTTTGTTTACTTTGTCACCTTCATGGCGAGGCATGACCGCAAATCTCAGCAACACAAGCTCACTTTTAGCAGAGGAAAGAGGAATACATTTTCAACTTTTCTGAATGAATAAAATCATTAATGTGGCTGATTCGGATTGGGAAGGAGCGGGGAAAAAAAAAAACCACTGCCCGAGGATGAGTAAGAGTGCTGTGGATTGCGCTGCAGCCAACGGCTCTAGGGTTGCCATGCACACTGCCTGTGGGGAGCCAGATGCAGAAGGCGGTGATGATGCGCTGGGGTGGGGCAGGAGCGCCAGATACACGTCTGGGTGACGCAAGTAGAAAGACGGAAAGTTGGCCACCCTCCCTGTGGGTCAGTGGACAGGAAAGGGAACGGACCAAGTCCTCAGGGAACCACCTTGAAACAAAACCTGGCCAGTCGACTCAAGACTGGAAACGTGGAGCACAAACATGTGGGCACTATTTATGGCGGACTGAAGTCTTCCCCCCATAGTCTCTGAGTCCTGTGGGGGCACTGACTGTGCAAGTCACTTCCTTCCTGGAGGTGGACCTTTGTCAGAATAGAACTCCTACCAAAGTCTCTCCAGAGGGCCCCGAAAACCACCCCTTCTCACACTGGACGTGTGTGCCTTTCTTCCCGCGTCCCTGCTCTAAGAGCCCTCACCCAGAGACAGCACTTACCGAGTTTCAACAGCCAGCCTTCTCGGTCGGGGTTGAAGAAAGTGTGCGTGAGGTCATTCCCATCATCTTCCGGGATTTTAAAGGGTTCGTTTTTTATGCTCTCATACAGATTCTGGGATAAAAGAGGAAACCTCATGTCTTTGATTCTGGAAATATCTTTTCTTCCTGCCCTTTCTCTTCATTCATTCTACAAACATTCATTATGTGCCCATGGTAAGCCACATACTCTGCTAGGCACTGAGACTAGAAGAACGTGACCATTTCTGCATTCAGGCGGCTCTCAGTGACAAAATAAGTAAGATGCCCACTGGATAATTAGGAAAACAAGAGAAAGTGTTTTAACTTCTATTCAAGCCTTTAGTTTCAGATTTACAAACCACTGTCCCCTTCCTAACTCCTTTAGCTAGGCCTCACTACCAATTTCTTAATGAAATTCACATAATTAAATGAATTAAAAGAGGAGACATTCGATAAATCCTATGTCTTTCTCCTCTCCTACAAAAAAAGACACTGTTTCAGGAAACTTTCTTGAGTCGAAAGAAGGTCGAGCTCACCCGGAGCAGCTCCTCAGGCAGGTCTCCCCCATCGTTGATGCCTCGGTTCATGGCGATGAACCTCTCCACGGTGGGCTTATCTTTGACATTGGGGTTGTGCAGGCTGGTGTTCAACATGATGATGGCAAAGGAGAGGACGTAACAAGTGTCTAGAGACAAGAAAAAAGCAAAGGAGAGCCCTTGTATGTTCAGACGATCAGAAACATCCCATCCAGAAGAACAAGAGATGCCAGATGAAATCAGGAATAAGCAGCCAAGCTCTCAAAAGAAGGGGACAAATCCACACAGGTGGGTATGCTAGGGCATGCTGCTATCAGAAAGAAGCAAGGCATGAAATGTACACCAAGTATTCAAGATTTAAGATGCTTATTTTTTCAGATTGAAAAAGGAGAATGTGTACACTATAGAAGATCCCAAAAATGACACAATGTATAAAAAAGAAAATACAAATTACCCATGTCAATAAAAATTCTTTATAAAAACATGTGTTTTTGAGACAGGGTCTCACTCTGTTGCCCGGGCTAGAGTGCCATGGCGTCAGCCTAGCTCACAGCAACCTCAAACTCCTGAGCTCCAGCGATCCTCCTGCCTCAGCCTCCTGAGTAGCCGGGACTAGGCATGCACCACCATGCCTGGCTACATTTTTCTATATATATATTTAGTTGTCCAGCTAATTTCTTTGTATTTTTAGTAGAGACTAAAAGGGGTCTCGCTCTTGCTCAGGCTGGTCTCAAACTCCTGACCTTAAGCGATCCTCCTGCCTCAGCCTCCAAGAGTGCTAGGATTACAGGCGTGAGCCACCACTCCTGGCCAAAAACATGGTTTTTAATAGTTGTGTGTTTCACAGTTCAGAGGTACCATGACTTATATTCCTAGTGCCTTACTGTTGCACTTTTGGATTACTTCCAACATTTTACTATTAGAGATACCATTAATTAAATGTTCCCAAGCATGAATCCAGGAATCTTCAGCCCTTTTGATAATTTTCCAGTGCTAAGGAAAGAATCCAGTGTAAATGCTCAGTGCACGCCAGGATGGGTGCTCCTACGTACCCGTGGACTGGAACACTCCATTATTGCACTGACAGTAGCGTTGGGCGAATGCCTCCATCATCCGGTCGATCTTCTGGGCCTCCCCTGGCAGCCGGAAGCTCCACAGGAACTGCCTGAATGGTGAGACAGGGTGGGTTCCAGGACTTGGGGAAATAATTTATTTCTCTGTGAAATGTTAAACTGCCAATGACTTTTAACACGAATGAGTAAAGGGAGAACTGCCAGACTGCAACCTTCTGGTACTCTCAACAGATGCAACTGTGACCAGATGCAAATTTACTACTCCACATCGTTGTTACCTCAATCGAAAGTAAAGTACTTAGGAAAAAGTGAAAAATTAAGATTTTCCTATTCAAAAGAATGGTTCTCAGAAAAATACACAGGACTAAAATATAGATAACGCTCATCTTAAACAAACTCCATTTTCAGAAAACAAGACGGGATAGCAGGAAAAGAAAAGAATGCCTATCAAAGCATTCACAATTGATCCCTATAAGTCAGAGAGACCTATAGCTGATAGGTTTAATTCTGCATTATTTCATCCACCTAAATGGCAGCACAAAAGATACTATTTATACCTTTAGCAGTGAAAATACAGAATGACAATTTCTCAAAAAGCACAAAGTAACAGTAAAAATTAAAGTTTACTTTTTTCTTTCTAAAATGAAACTCAGTACTACTTATTCTAGGGCAAGAAATTAAAGGATTTTCTAACTTAAATATTAGAAAAATTTTACTATTCATCAATTTGCAAAGCTTCAAATTTAAGACTCAGCGAAGTTTTTTTTACATAATCTGCTTTCAGGACATATCATAGGCCAATAGATTGTTTTCCTTCAAAATACATCAAGATGTTCAAAATAGTCCCCCCAAAGATTCCAGGGTGCTTGCCTCGGGAGCACTCACCGTAGCGCCTGGACGAGGTTAAGGTCGGTAAACTCGTGCAACTCCACAAATGCATGCAGAACCTGGATGTTAAACTCATCTCTACCAAGAAAAGACAAAAGATGGGGGAGAAAGCAGGAGTCAGACACTGACTGAGAATCTAAGACCCATCCCCATCCCCGGCTGGGCAGTGTCTCACATGTTGTGTCCTGGCGTCATGTGGCTGCCCAGACAGCCACCCCCCCCAACACACACACAGTCAGCAAGAAGCCTGGCTAGCTCTGTTTACCAGCTAACCACACCCCCTAGACAGACCCACCACCATTCTCCAGGACAGCTCCCCTCAACACCAGTGTGGTTACTGCTGCCTTAGAACAAAAGCCGGTCCAGGAACCTGGAGCCCTGGGAGCTGGTTTCTGCACATCATCCACGACCAGCCCCTCTAGCAGGCTCACCTCTCTCCAAGGTAGTCCCCGATGGCTGTCTTGTTGAGCCCTTCGCCTTTGTACAAGAACTGGGCGATGTCTTCACACGTGTTCTTTAGCAGATCGTTCTCTATTAAGAACTGGATCCCCTAGAAAAGGACAACAAATACGCCAATGGTGCTAGGAGTAGGCGGCAAGAGAGAAGGGGAAAAGGCAGAGGAAGAAGTGGGTGTAGGAGCACTGGATACAGAGCATCTCATAGATACCTGCCCACTGACACAAAGGGTCAGGGGTCACAGTTGAGGAGCCAGGGCTTGAAACTCCAGACAACCCAGGGTCTATTGCATGGCATTTGCTGCACACAATGCAGTGTGAACTGTAACACTTGGGAAAACACCTTTGGGTTCTACCTGAGTACTGCAGAAAACCCATCCTAAACCCATCCTAAAGACTATGGGCTTTGGCCACTTCCCTCTCACTTACCTTCTTAGGGTCCATGTTAAATTTTTTCCTGCCCATGGCTACCTGTTTGTTCCTCTGCATGTTTTTCCTGTAAAACAACCAACACAGCCATTTTAGTACTTCAGGCAACTGGCAAGTTTTAAAAGACTAATATAATTCCCACCTGCATCCAGTAATTTACAGGTATTTTTGAAAGATTTATCCAAGAAAGCAACAGGTTGGTCTAACTATGAAAGGTCAGTTAAACCCTGACTTGGCTCCATGCTCACTTGTGCTCCTTCTACCCCAGATCAGTGGTTTTCTTTTTAAACATGATTTTTAAAAAAGCTTTATCATGGTATAATTTACTTGTCAAAAAAGATTCCTATTTTAAGTATATATGTGAATAATTTTGCAAGCTTATTGAATTGTGCAACCATCATCATAATCTAGTTTTAGAACGTTTTCATCACCCCAATAAAATTCCTCACACCCATTTACAGTTAATCCCCACTCCTAACTCCACCCACAGGCAACTACTCATCCATTTTCTATCTCTGTGGATCTGCCTATTCTGACATTTTATATAAACAGAATCATAAAATATCTGGGCTTTCATATCTGGCTTCTTTCACTTAGCACAGTGTTTCTCGGCTCCTCCAGGTTGTGGTGAGCACCAGGACTGCGCTCCCTCTTACTGCTCCACAGACTCCACTGCACGGATGCACCACATCTGCTTATCCACTCACCACGAGGGACTGTTTGCAGTTTGGAACTTCTATGCATAAGGCTGCTATCAGCATCTGTGCACACGTCTTTATGTGGACATATGTTTTTGTTTCTCTTGTGGAAATACCCAGGGGTGGACACGGCTAGATCACGTGGTACACATATACTTAACATTTTAAGAAACTGTTAAATGATCAGCAGTTTTCCTGACTGTGCGTCAGAATGAAAAATGCGGATTCATAGACCATGCTTCTCAAAGTGTGGCACACAAACCAGCAGCTTCAGGAGCATGCCCAGTTCTCCTATGTGTGTGCGTATCAACTGGGGCCTCGTCGAAACAGATTCTGACTCTGCGTCTGCAAAGAGCCTGTGCTTCTGCATGTTTCATGTGATCCCACATGCGGACTCTGAGTAGCAATGGACCAGCTGAATTGTTCAGAACTTCAAGGAGCCTAGGAATCAGAATTTTTAAAACCTCCCTTGGCAATATGGTGTGCACCCAAATTTGGGAAAGGCTGCAATCAATGGCAATAATAATTTTATAATTTCAGACGGCAAAACAGTTGTTCAGAAATGGAATTATAAAATGTTACTGCCTTGAGGAACAAACATCTTCTCTGGCTAAATTGACAAATGGGGGGAGATGTTCCTAAGTGGTTTGAGGTATCAGAATTTCAGGAGGTGAGATAATCAAGGATCCCCTATGAACAGCTGCCTTAAAACACACAGCCACAGAGGGAACACACAGTTTAATTTCAGCTAAAATGAAGGGTTATAACCAGACATCTAGAAATTCCTATTTAATTTAAATGGTCATCTGATCTTTTTTCGTAAGTCCAGAAAGATTGCTCTGATCAGTATTTCCAAACAAATACAAGGAAAACCTTTCTGACTTCTAGTAAGACTGGTGTGGCAAGTTCAGAGGCACCTATAGAAGCAAGGTATGAAACTGCTAAGAATCCTCAGGTTGGTCCCTTACTAAAGGCTTCCTGTGGCCACCAGAGAGTACACTCCCAGATCTCTGCCAATCAGTTTCTGCTATGTGACTGCCTCACCTGAGCTGTCCCCTAATTTCATTAGCCAGTCTTCCTGCTTCTCTGCCTCCCCTCATGGAGACCCTGTGGCTCTAGGTCTGAGGCAGGCACTTCTCTACGGGCTTTCCCCAGTCCCCAGACAGAGCTGACCCCAAAGCGAAATAGCCAAGTTACTGCTCTCATACCACCTTAGTTAACCAACATGTATAAACTTCAGAAAGTCTTAAATGCTTTAGTATGTGAATATGTTACTAGTATTTTATCAGAGTATTTAGTGTCATTTTACACAATGTTGGCATCAGGTCTTTGATTAAAAACATAAACTGTCTCCTGTGGAAAAGCTGGAACAAATGTGACACCTGTTTGAGGAACTAATCCACGTGAATCTGAGAATTATTCATATGGAGTCTCAGGGATCTGCAGAGTAACTCCCCTTTTGGGGTTTTCAATACTGGAAAGCCATTTTAAGTTCCACATTAAAAAAATAATAATACCCTTATTACCACTCCCTGACTCCCAGCTCCAGACGCAGCTGAGGGGAGCTCCATAAACTCATTAGCTGAGGATAGCTGTATGCATATATAATATGTATCACTAATATTTTCTTCCAATCTGTAGCCTGCCTATTCATTCTTTTAACAGTTATCTTTTATAAGAGCAGAAGTTTTAAATTTTGATGAACTCGACTTTATCCATTTCTTTTAAACTATGTTTAACATGGAAAGTTAGAAAGTTGTAATCCAAAACACCAAACGGACAATACAGAGCCTGGCAGTGATGCCCCAGCCACCTTCTCTGGACACCTAGCTTCACTTACCCTAACACACGGCCCACAGGAGTCTAAAATAACAAACCAAATGGTCTTATGAAGCCAGACAGGGAGACTTAGGCTTAGAAAAATATAGACATAGAGTGAATTGGAAACAGCCCGTTTATTGCATTAAGCAGTTAGAAAACGGTCTGGGAACCCCATTCAAAACTAAACTCTCAAGGTCACTAACATTTCATGTAATCAAAAGAAAAAAATTCAAATGGTCCTTGTCATTTTACACTATAATTTCATTTCTGCATTCTCTTCCCTTAAGCATTAGGGTAGGCACAAATAAGCCCCCAATTATACCCAGACATAACTGCATACTCCAGCCTTTTGAAATTGTATTAGCAGAATTCATGAAGCTTTTCCTTTACACAAAGGAAAACCAGAAACTTTAAAATATAAACATAGTGGACAACAGAGGTGAATAATTCACATAAAAATTTAAGAGTAGTTTAAAGCTTTCTGGGATTCTTGAAGTTCTCTAGTTTAATCTTTCGAACAACGTAAAAAGCTTCTACATGTCAGGAGTCCTAGCAGTGAAGGCTGGAAGGCAGAGAGCATGGGTATGAACGTGTCCATCAGGAACTGGAAGATATAAAACTTACTTTCTCCTCGTGTGTGCCCGGTCAGCGTAATTAAGGCCAGCATGCTTTGAGAAGCTACAACCACAAAAACCACCCGGCAGGAGGATGACCCACCTTTCTTCTGTGGATCCCAGGTTTTCAATTTCATTAGCTACTTCTGCTATCTCATCCTTCAGCCTCTACAAAACAGAGTTACCAAAAGAGGAAGATACAAATTAAGGCTTATGAAATCTCACATAGCCCCCTCCAACCAAAAACAAAATAAAAGCAAAATGAAATAAGACAAACCAAAAAAGCTAAGAAAGTAAATTAGGAAAATTCATCTATTCAATAAATATTTATTGAGCTCCTACCAGACAGTAAGCATTCTAGAAAACACAAAGGTAGAATAAGATGCAGCTCCTGACCTCAAAGAATTTGTAGTCTAGGAAAGTTAGAAGCATAGATGCTATGTAAAAACTGCATGTTCCACTGGAAAATGGCTGCTTCATCACAGTCTTTCAGGACAAATCCACAGCTTCCTAAACACAAGTGTGATGGAGGCTCCCAGGACAAACTCTCCCACCCCGAGCCCAGGCTGCAGCGTCAGCAGCAGCTGTGCCAGACCAACACTGCCGCCAAGTGGCCGCCAGAGGGAATGTCTGGTCAAAGAGGCTGTTGGTCCACACCACCCTCCCAGGTGCAGCAGGTCCTCGGTCAGAACAGATTCTCACAGCAAAGGGGACCTGAGCTGAGAACTACTTCACTTTCTCAGCATCGACAAGTGGAACAGGAACCAAAGAATCAGGGCAAGCTATCAAAATACATTCAAATTCACACCAGAGCAAGTCAAGTCTTTCCTCACCACGTCGTGCAGCTTTGGGGTAACTGGGTTCCCTCTTTCACCCTACCAGATAGTTTATAAAAAATTCTAGAAGAATAGCAATTGCTGCCCCAGGGCTAAAACAATATAATTATTGGCTTCTATGACATTTCTTACAAAGCTTGACAGTTATGGAAAGGAACTTGGAAAAAGAACAAAATTGCTATCACTGACTAGCACATCTAGGGACCAGAAACTATGCCACGTCTTTTATAAATAATAATTCATTTCATCCTTACAACCACCTATGAAGCAGGAGTTTTGGTTCGGATCTTACAGATGAAGAAACTGAAGTTCAAAGAACCAAAACTCTCTTATCTCAAATCATTTGCTAGTAAGTGGCACAGCCAGGACCAGGGCATCTAGCTTAACCTGAAGCCCGCATTCTCATCACCTCCCCTCATCCGCTCTCCACTTAGCATGGCAAACACAGCAGTGACGACTTTGCTCAGAAGACAGGGGACCTGGGGGTCCCTCCAGTTCTGACAAGTGACAGCTAAACTTTTACAAACCGCCCAACCCCTTTAAGATTCCACTTTCTCACCTGTAAAGCAAAGATGACAATACTACACACTGTGCAGAGTTCCAGTGAGAGGTCACAGGTGTCGTGAGAAGACACTCTGTAAAGCCCACATTTTTACACAAACAGAACTGTCACTGTGGTATTTACGCTGGCAAAGCCACCATGCCGTCTCCCACCTGAATGTCGGCCAGCAGCTCCTGCTTGCGTCGTCGGATGTTCTCCAGCTCTTGCCGCTCCTCGGCAGTCAGGTCACTGGGAACTACAAAAACGGAGGGAAATGTTACTAAGAAAGCTTTTATCTCACCAAAAACAAAGTAAAATCCAGAGACCACAAAAGGAGAAAGATACCAAGAAAGAAGCTAGAAGCCAGTTCCAGAACTGACCAACTGCCAGGAGCAGTTCTGGCTCCAAACTCTCATCAGGTTTTCGAAAGAAGGAAGGACCTTAAATCACACAGAAAAGCTCTGAGAAAGGAACCCTTGGAAGAAAAACCAGAGAGAAAAGATTGCTGGAGGCTGAACTGGGATGGCTGTGAGTGAAAGAGCATGAATATCAGCTGACTGCCTCCCCATCTTCATCCCTCCCAGTTGGAAGACTTGGGCCGCTTTTAATCAATCGCTCTAGGCCTCAGCTGCCCGGTGGTCAGAAAAAAAAGTCACCACCTCACTGGGCTGGATAACGTGGAAAGATGTCCCTGACGCCCTGAAGTGGGGGGTGGGGTGGCAAGCTGCAAAGCGGCATGAATAGTTTTGTGCCGTTTCTGGGAGGGGGTGGAGGAAAGAGACTGTATGTACAGAGAAAAACATGTAGAAGGACATCACCAAGCCAAAGTCAGTGCTTAACTTAAGGGACTGGGATTACAGGACTTTCCCCTTCTGCTTTGCATCCTTCTACATGGTTTGAGTGATGTTTTAAAATGTGTTCCTATCATCAGAACAAAGTTACTTGATTCCTGGATCACAGTCGGCACCATGAAATACTTCTGCGCTCCTCCAGTGACTCCATCCCCCTTGTCTATGCAAATGGGAGTTCAACAGATGCCCTCCAAGATGACCCTTCCATGCATGCTGTGGGAGCCATGCGGACCCATGGGAACAACAGCATCAGAACCAGCCAAACCAGGTTCAAGCCCAGCTCCAATCTACCATGTGCCAAACTGGGTCCCTCTGAACAAGTTACTCAACCTATTTGCACCCCATCAATAAAGTGGACATACCATCACCCACTTCGTAAAGCTGCTGTGAGAACAAAGGGAAACAGAGTAATTAAAGTGCCTGGACCTCTGCCCAGTGCTCAGCAGGAGCTCAAAAGGGTTGGCTCCTGTTCCCTCCGTGGCAAAGTAAAAGGTACCCACACCCCCAAAAGGAAAGGCAGGATACACGTCCTCCTATCCTTCTAGTAGGTGCCTAAATAAATCACAGCTGCATTGTATAATATGGCATGGTGGCCACAAGCCCCCTGTGATATTGAGCACTTAAAATGTGACTGCTCAGTTTAATATGTGCTGTATGCATAAAATACATACCACACTTACTACAGAAAGTAAAATGTCTCTCAAATAATATTTTATATTGATTATACAATGATACGATAGTAACTTGATAAATAAAATATACTATTTTAATTGATTTCACAGGGGCTACTAGGAAACAAAATTGCATTTGTGGCTTATATTAATATTATATTTCTACTGGACAGCACAGAGTTGGAATAACATCTCTGCTTGACAGCCAGTTAGGATACACACACTTTAATGCTTGTGGCATTAAAACTTAATCTACTACATTCAGAGGGCAGTTATTTTTCCCAAAATAATTCATAAAAACCACGACAATAAAAGAGACTAGAAACAGATCACAGTGAAGCCTACAGAATGGGTTCATTAGCAACATTAGAAAAGCTGATTTTCTTTTTTACCCAGCTTTTCCCCATCCTTCTCTAGAAAGGTATCTTTTAAACTTCTCCAAGATCCACCATAAGAAATGCATTTTATATCACAACCCAATCTTCCCCACACGTGAAAAGTATCAAGAATAATACCTCATGTGAAATTCAGTGGTATTTTCTGTTATTTCCCTGTTAGTTCCCTTAGCAATGGCTGTAGTCCAACTAAACTGATTTCATAAACTACCTAATGCATTGAGTCCTATAGTTTGAAAACATTCTTCTACTTTCTAAAGGCTGGAAAGGACAGTCACTCTGAAGATTCAACAGACGCAGGTCACCTTCATAAGAGTGGGCCTTAGACTGCACCCCTGAGAACTGGGGGTGACGCCTAGGGCAGGGTGGAGCCATAAACAGCACTGCCTGCACACCTGCTCTCCAGCCTATCCCTGTGTCCAGTCCAGCAATCCATCAGTATTACAAGGATTCTCATCTCCCCTAGTTTCTCCCCAGGCTGAGCCATTCCCCCAAAATAAAGAAAAAATTTAAAAACCCTACCTGCTCCAGGAGAAAGACAAATAACAAGTCAGCTCTACTTATGGCAAAAACCACTTTGAAAAACAACATACATATCCCACTCTAGAGAAAAGCATGCTTAAAGAAGTTCTTTATAATTTTTCTGGGCTTCACAGACCAGAAAAATTTCTAGTCCATGAAGACTAGAAGATCCCTTTAAGAAACTAATTTCCTGAGGTTCTAGAAGACAAATATTCATTCCAATATAACATGATTTTGAAATTGAGGCAACAGTTCATTTTTTAAAACAGCTATTCCATTCCATGGGGGGGGGGGGTGGCTCAATCATCCGTATTTTATTTTGGAGCTACAGAGCTGCTTAATCAGATCATCAGTCTCCTCCCAAGCAGAGGCAGGACTAAATTCAAGGTCCTTATAATCAGGCCGACAAAAAACAGGCACCATGTAAAAAAAACTCCTATCTCAAGACTGCTGTGTACCTGAGAAACCCACTTTCATCATTCTGAACTGGGAACTCTCAGTGGTTGCTTTCTTTTCAGAATCTGAGCACCCAATTATTCTAGGTTAGTATTCACAGATGACAATTTTTCCAGAAGGTCACAATCTAGTTTCTGTATTATAAATTCAAAATGTGCTGCCAGTTCTCTACCTTCTAAGCCACTAAGTAGTGGCTTTTAAGTAAACAGTAAAGGAATAAAAAAAAATCCATAAAGCTACAATATCAAAGAGTTTGCAGAGAAGGGCCATCGGAAGAGACTTCAACAAACTCCCAGACAGAGAACGCAAAGGAAGAGTGCTAAGTGCTAATACCTTCTTGCAGAATGTAAACTCCAGGAAGGCAGGGACCTTGTCTGCCTCACACACTCTTGTGTCTGTGGTACCCAGCAAGGGGCCTAGCATACTAAGGATTTTGAAAATAAATACCCCCAGGCAAAACCAAAAGAACTGAACCAATTTTCTAGTGAGTGGGCAGTGAGCACGGAGCTGGTGCCCAGGGAGACCTGAGAGTACCCTACTGCAAATTGGGTGTCCACTTACCCCAAAGCCTAGCCTCCCTGTCCACATGGCCCAGTCCACACCTGAGCCACCTCTGCTTCATTCTTCCACTTACAGAGATGACCACACCTGCAGCATGAGGGAGAAAGAACGAGAGGGAAAAACCCACTCGGGACCAAACAGAGACAATGAGGGAGCAAAAGAAAACTTTAAAAGAATAGGAAACTCTGGAAAAGGGACAATTACAGAAAAGGAATACATCCTTGCAAATTAAACGTGTTTTTGCCCCTTATGCATCCTTCCAAAATAAAAAAGTCAATAAAGGATTAAAAGAAGGCCGGGCGCTGTGGCTCACGCCTGTAATCCTAGCTCTTGGGAGGCCGAGGCGGGCGGATTGCTCAAGGTCAGGGGAGTTCAAAACCAGCCTGAGCAAGAGCGAGACCCCGTCTCTACTATAAATAGAAAGAAATTAGCTGGACTATATATAAATTAGCCGGGCATGGTGGCGCATGCCTGTAGTCCCAGCTACCCGGGAGGCTGAGGCAGAAGGATCACTCGAGCCCAGGAATTTGAGGTTGCTGTGAGCTAGGCTGACGCCACGGCACTCACTCTAGCCTGGGCAACAAAGCGAGACTCTGTCTCAAAAAAAAAAAAAAAAAAAAGGATTAAAAGATAAAGTTGAGGCATTCTTGTAGAACAAGAGCAAAAAGAAAAGACTTGAAAAATATAAGTAAAACTGAAAACAGAAGCAAAAACATCAACTCATTCAGTCTGATAAAACTTTTTTTTTTTAAGTTCTGGAGAAATATTCATAGGAAAAATTCAGAAGTTCAAGGAGTAAGGAAAATACTAAAACATGCATGGGTGAGGGGGTCGGGAGTGATTAATCAGACGCCCTGTGAAGGCAGACTCTGGCTGGTGTCAGAATGAGAACACAGGGCACCGAAGACAGCAGGGTGCAACTTTCAAACTTCTAAACAAAAATGACTTGAACCTAGAATTCTCAAGCAAGCAGGAGGGTAAAATAAAATCATTTCAGACACTCAAGGGCCAGAAAGTTTGTCTCCCGTGCACCCCTTCTGAAGCAGCTACTTTCAAGAGGAAGAAGATATGAACATGAAGACAGAGATTGACTCCGGAGTCTGAGGATAACAAACACAGACCCTGGATGGACAGAAGGAAACTGGACCGGGTCAGAACAGGAAGCCAAAGGGCTGCAAGAGGAATGTCACCGCAAGAATGAAATCGATAAGAAACCAGGGAGCGAAAGAGAAAGCTCCTGAGAAATATTTGGGATATGAGTGGGCATCATTCATGCTCCTCTCAAGAGAATAAAAAGTACCAGGAGACAGGAAAAGCTACACTAAAGGGAACCATGGAAAGAATGAAACAAGCCATGTGTGGTGTCATCCGGGCCACCTAGGAACAGCTCCCTTTGAGCGGGCTGCTGGCTCTGGGGTGAGCAGCATTTACAGTCTTGTCACGGCGCTGTTTACTGGTGGTTAACTTTTAGAATCAACCTGTACACAAAGCCCAAAAGACTAACCAGGCTAGAGAAGAAAAGCTATCTGTTATCAATGGTGAAGGAAGAGCTGGCACAAGTGTGAAGGACGTGGGGGCAAAGTGGAGAGACAAGCAGGGTCCCCCCACAGCTTCCTCCTCCAACGGAGCCCAGAGGCACAGGCAAGGCTGATGGAACAAGAATCCGAGCTGTAAACATGCTTGTGGAAGTTTCAAAGGTACAAATACAGGAAGTGAAAATTGTGATGAACTATCAAACATGGATAGGGAGAATGATGTGAGTTGTATCCTCATCCATCACAGGAAGAAGGCAGGAGATAA